TATTCAATAAATCTAAGAAAAAGCAAATAAATTTGGAAAATGCTTTATTTAGAACTGTATGATGAACCTTAAACAAAAATCATGTCACAGATTAAGTGCATCTTCACACTAATGCTAAGTTACATGTGACTGATCAACATCTCTATAGCATTTATATGTGGGGATGATGAAGATGACTTTTCTAAGAAGATAGTATAGTATTCAATCAAGTATATGGAAATATTAATTCTATCAATATTAGTATGTTGTTATCCATTAGTTGATGTGATTTTGGAAGAAGTTTACTAACATGTTGATGAGTTACATATGGACGATTGGCATGACATGATCCATCATGTTGTAATATCAATCATGATCACAATCTTAATGATAAGAGTATATATGGTTGGAATAATGTAATCTATGATATGATTAATTATCTCAACATTCTAAATGTTTAAAGTACTATGATACAAAAAATGAGATTAATAAAAATGTGATTGGAATATCAAGTTCATGATTTTTAATATATATCATCATAATAGAAATAAAATCTAGAATGATATGGAACTTGATATTGCTTATAAGAATTTAACTAATAATTGTAATGCTTACTATTATTCCTAAATAAGAGTTTATAATTAATAAAAATCATTTGGAGGAAAAGTTTGCAGAGAAAATGAAAAGAAAAGTGAACTAAATGGGACTGATGCATTACAAGAATTTTGGAAATAAAGTAATAAATAATTAATTTTACGTTGAGAAAATTTACTAGATTGGGGTTTAAATAAAGGAATTCATGGAGAAGATTTTAAGTTCGACGAATTGATTTTGAATGAAAAGAATTTAGAGTGAATTTTTTGAAGGGAATAAAGATGGGTTACTAGGGTTAAAAGGAGGGAAATATATTATGTAGGCTAAATAATGGATTAGAACATTTATTTTATAGAAGATGTTGAGTTATATATCTTCACAATCAATTCCAATAGTGAACATTACAGTTGTTTCAACTGTGATAATGTATTGTTGAGAAAATTAGGGTGAAGAAAAACAGTAATCGACACAAATCCAGAAGAACACAGAGATTTAACGAGGTTCGGCAAAGATGCCTACGTCCTCGGGAGCAGAGCGGCGAGTTACTTTCAATATTCAGAAAAGGGTTACAGAATAGAGGGTTACCTCCAGAGGTTACTAACGGACCTATTTATAACCCCAGGAGTAAACTTTAGGCACAATATGTAATTACAACATTATACAACATTACCCCTGTACCAGCAAAGCCCCCGCACCCCAACCCACATAACTTTCCAATTTGGACAGATTCTCCCGGACAGATTCTTCCGCTCCGCTCCGCTCCGCTTCGATCCAGCGTCTGTCCCGATATGATATATGAGCCATACCATAACAAATTTCTAGTATTAACTATGTTTTTTAAAAGATATTATTATAATGATAGAATTCATCAGCAAAGTGGACAAAATATTACATGCGGTTAACTTTATGTATATCTACGGCCAGGATGCGCAAAAAAAAAAAAGAAAAAGAAATAAATAAAATAAAATAAAAACATAGAGACCCCCCAATATCTGCGTCGTTGAGCGTATGTTCAGCATGCATAATATCTACTCTCGTAGATGATATAAAACATGGTATTAGTATGTATCAAAGGATAATCAGTACTCATCCATTATTCTTGATAATTGTAACATTTGCTTTTTATTAAAAAGCTAGAATTGCAATGCCTTTTATTGAATTAAATAATTTAATATATGAGTGTTTAAATATAGGCACTAAAAAGATTAGTAAAGAAAAATAAAATAAATGATAATATGTCTAAGATTAAGGATATATTGTAATAAAAAATACTATACTTTTTTTATATAAATATTAGACACATAATAAATATTTATATAACAATAAATATGGCTATAACATGCCCCCAAAAAGTCATGATGTTGCTCTAAGAAGCATAAGAGGTTTGTTATGTCAAGGAGCAAAAACATAAAAGCAAATGTGACTTGATAAACCAACTTGCAATCTATAGAGAAGGGGATAATGATTAAGATGTCAATTTCAAAATCTTTATTTCTGTCATGTAATACTAACTCGTAAGCAATCAGAATTTTTCTGTTTTTTTTATTTTCAGGATACAAAGGAGTGGGATGAGAAAGAATAATACCCATTCAACAAACAACAAGCACAACTAAATTATCTCTATGATAGTAGAGAACATAGGATGATACTCGTCTGAGAAAGAAAACTTTATTTCTTACTATTTTATTGAAAAAGATTATCCAAGAAATACACAAGCCAATTATAGATCTGTAGTCCATTAGATTGCTAGCCCAATTAACATGATAATCAGCTCTAAAGATGTTGATTAAAACAAAATAAACTGGAATAGAATTTTGACATTAAAGTTCAAGTTGAGTTTCAATAATTTTAGCATTAATAAGGTGATCATGCTAAAGAATATCAGTTGCATGACTTAATTCGATACCTAGAGTGGCAGACCCAATTTTTTTATTTCAAAATGATAATTTGATTTAGGCTTCAACATTCCCATACATCATTAATATCACACGTAACAATGATATCATCAAAACATATAATGAAAGTAGAATGTGTCCTACATGACTGCTGTAGTGAAAAACATACAAGTATATTCGAAGGCATAATCACAACTGACAAGGGCGAAAGTCAAATGAGAAAAGCAAAATAGGGGACTTCTTAAGCTAAGCGCAATGTGCCTATTTAAGATCATATAAGATTTCTCAGAAGTGAATTTTTCGAGGATAGTGAGAAACACCATATTGGACCTTTTTTAAAAGATCAACTTTCAAGAATCTATGTTTTTATCTAAGATATATATATAGCAAATAGTCTGATGCAAAAACAATAAGAGTATGAAAAGCAGTCATTTTCACAATTAAAGCAAAAATTTACTCATGAATCTATATCGCACTACTAAGACAACTCTTCAGCAAATCAATTATGCTTTCTACTGCTTAATGGGCTCATTTGCTTTTGTTTTGATCATACACACCAAACAAGAATCAATTGCACTTTTACTTGATAGCAAAGGTTTCAATTCCCAAGTATTTGATTTGTGCATTATATAATATTCCTTAATCATTGTATATTGTCAAAGTGGATCAAGAACTGGATATATAGATGTTTGAGGATGAAAAAGATTATGAATCGCGTAAAAAGGATAAAGAGAATGAGAACAAAATGAACTAAAATTCAATTTGATGCTTAATCAAAGAGCAGTATGAATCGCTTTCCATAAGAAGACATCTAATTTTAAGAATATGCTTTTTTTTTTTTTCGGTTTCTAAGAGAAGATTGATATATTTGTCCCATCAAAAGCAAATTTTTAATTTATTTGATGTATATTCCCCCTTAAAATGCTTTTAAAATATTTTATAATAGTTAAATGTTGGGCTTCCAGAGGAGGAGATAGTTTTGTTGAAAGATAATACAAAATAATAATAATAATAATTTGCGTTCACCATTGTCAAAAATATCTTGATTTGGTAATATTCTTATTGCTTTTGTAAAAATTAAATATTCCAAAAGAAAGGATGAAATATGAACATCATAAATAAAAATGAGATAAAAAATGAGATAAAAAATGATGTGAAAATGTAATAAATATTTAGAATCATTATTGATATGATAGATATGTAAAAGATTTTGAAAATCAGACCAAATATTGAATCTACAAAAGGAAAAATTATTAGGTGTGGTTCGGAAAGAAGAGGTTCAAAAGTCGTTGTTCAAGGAAGGTCGAAATGTTTGATTAATAATTATTAAAATTATTTTAATATAATTTAAATATTATAATAATTATGTGATTATAATATTATCAATTCAATATACAAATTCTATGAATTATCACTCAACTATATCGTGAAATTGTTTTAAAATAAGAAATTGATTAATATTAAAACTAGCAGTATCATAAAAAGGTTGGATTGGTCTATTTTGATCGGTTGGGTGTGTTCCCCAGGTTTAAAATTCGAGGAACTATAACCAAAGGACCAATTTGCAGTAGAAACGGTCAGATCAATGATCATGACAATTATAGGATGCATCGGTTGTAACAAATTAATATATTAGAAGTGGATATGAGTCTAATTAGCAGTTATGACAATTATAAGATTCATGGGATTTTAAAAATAGCAGACATATGATGGCAGATCCTTTGCTCTAAAGCTTCAATAGAGGAACATGTACTTGAAGGACTTGGCTTGACAATCCTAAAGGCTAAAGCAGATATAAGACACGATTGTTAAAATTGGCCAACTAAAGAATCTATTTTGAAATTATTAGAAAAAATGCATCCATAGGCCCATAATGATTATTAGATCACAATTCTACCTCTACAAATTCACCTTTGTTAATTAAAATAACATTTCAGAGTTCAGGTTTGGGGCCATTTTTTGTGTTTACTTTGTGTTTCAAATCACCACAACACCGTTCAAAAAATTATACTTGATTTCTAAAATTGTGTTTAAGACTTTTTTTAACCCGACCTAATAAAATAAAATACTTTCATTAAAAGAAAACATACCTGAATAATTAACAAGTATACACATTTATAATTTTCACTACAAATTTTTAAAAACAGCAATCACTCAAAACAAATGATCGTATTTACAAATCACTTGAACCTTTATCACCACATCAAAAATATGAACCTCACTACCTATCTTTTTAAAAGAGTAGAATTTCATATAATTAACATACAAAACCAAAATGCACTGATAACCAGCGAGTAGAATTCTCTCTTAAATTAGTTATGTTCATGGGTATGAGGACGGTTACAGGTGACACTGTCATTGAACACCTTAGGCAACTCAATAAATGACAATGATGCACAAATCAACGTTTACTTTTTGGTCGTCTACAATACAAGAGCATTATTAAAAGTGAAATTTTTATTTCTCATTAGACCGCAAACTTTATAAACCAAAAAGCTACAGCAATTGCAGATAAATCAGTTTAGAAAGACGTGGTGACAGATTTGAAGCCAAATACCTAAATGTTGTGTCGCATCCTAAATGAATTCAGAGAAACTCCACATTTTGCTTTCCCAACAGTAAAATAAATAAATTAAAAAGGGGGCGAAAAAATACTGAACTTTATAGGTAAAGAGAGAAGGCTCATCAACGCATTACACAATGAGGTGCCACTAATCATGCTGTGTTGCTCCTATTATCCTAAAGGCATTACTGTACAGAAGGGAAAAAAATGACAGCCAGCAGCTGTTCCAATATATTTTTAAGGATCATTCAACATGTAACTTGATTATGCATGCAACATTTTTATTCCCTTCTCCGATTGTTCCTGAAAAAGGGATGCCTGAGAGCTTCGCGTGCCGTCAACCGTTCTGCTGGCTCATATTTGAATAGACCTTGCAACAAATCAATTAGATCTCCAGCTGAACGATCCACATACTTCATAATTATGTTCTGAAAGGCCAAATAAAAGTAGTACAAAACAAAACTTTGTCAGAACTAGGGCTGTCAAAACGGCTCGTTGTTCGCGAACAGCTCATGTTCGACTCTTTAAGAAACTCGTGTTCGACTCGTTAATTTCGTTCGATAAGTTAACGAGTCGAACACGAACTAAGATGTGTTCGTTCGTGTTCGGCTCGTTTTGGCTCGAAATACTACTCATCAAGTACATATATATATATATATAAAGTAGTATTTTAAAAAAAATTAATTGACTATAAGGCTACAAAGATTTATAACCAATTAAAGTATTGATTAAGAAAATAGAATAAAAATTATTAAATTAAATTCAAATGATGTTTTAATATAAATAATAATTTTTAAATCTTTGCTCAAACCCTTATTGTCTTATGACTACATGATTAGGGTTGCTAAAAGGACTCTTTGTTAAAAAAGCCTCTTTGTGCGTGAACAGCTCTTGTACGGCTCGTTAAGCAAACGAGCCGAACACGAACACACTTTGAGCTCGAAATATAAACGAGCCGAACACTACACCCCCTAGTCAGAACCCCATTAAAAATAGTATTCTATATTAAAAAAAAGGTCGTTAGCAAAACTCTTCTGACCGAAAACACTACACAAACATCACACAACTAAAGAGCTGCATGCACATGGGATTGAGAAGTTTTATTTAAATTTTATTTCATTTGCTCCATTTTCCTTCAGTTCATACAGCCTAAAAAAACCCACTAATGCATGATTATTAATGCAATCTAGAACCTACCACAACAACATACCTGAAGTCGGAGCATTTTATGAACAGCATTGATGCTCTCCCTGGAGGAAGCACCTTCTGGCCAGTTCAGCCGAGTTCTTCGAAAATATTTCTCAGCATGCCTACTGAAAAAAATAAATGAAATATATACCGTTGAACCAAAAGCTTGAGCCCTGGAATTCATTTTCGGTTACTATAAGATTACTTACTCTGCCCTTTTCATCATATGACGGGGTATGGGGCCAAAAACCCTCTCCATCATGGCAAGATGCTCCAGGTTTTCATGAGTCTGAAACAAAGCCTCCCCCTGCAAAAAATAATACTTGACAAAATTAGTCTCTTGATGTTTATCTAAGCGGATAAGTTTCATGATGAGACGGATCGTACAGAGCACAGCTCCACAAGTATACATCCTAGGCTCCATACATCACATGGGTAACTCCATCCAAGCCCTGTTTCAACAAAAGCAAGTCATAAAACCAAATCACATGTGCATAAATAAAAGAATGACTATAATTACAATAATTCTAACAAACCTAATATAACTTCAGGAGCCCTGTAGTGTCTCGTTGATACAATATAATTGTGATCCTGGCTGTCATAAGTTGTGCTTCCAAAATCAATTACCTTGACAGCACTTGACTTGGGTAATCTCATGGATTGGCTGGGATACTGATCCAATCAAAGAAAATTAAATTTCAATAATTTGGCTAGAAAGAAAATACAAGTATTAAAGCTTACAAAATTTAACAGACAATAACAAAAAAACCTTATGATCAGACAGATTTACATGCTCTGATGAAACAACTAGAATGTTCTCCGGCTTCAAGTCAGTATGAATGAGGCGCAAATCATGCATAACTGCCACAGGTTCAATAATAGCAAGTGAGATTAAACTTTCATTTAATGCAAACACTATAAATATTGATGAAAGAAAGTAAAATCTAGCACAGATCAAGCAACGAATCATGTAGCTAAAGCCTCGATTTCAATTTAGCCCTAATAAAAATCCAAAAATCAAACAGAGCCTATACTCACAAAAAGGCTGCTAAAGAAAGAAATAATTAGTGAATGTTAGAATTATCTATAAAAAAACTGGAAAAAAAAAAATGGAAGGCGTAGTCTATACATGCAACGGATTCAAATAGTTGCCTGCCAATCTCACGAACAAGATCAATTGGAAAGGGTCGGTAACCATTTTTCCGAAGAAAATCGTATAAACTTGGGCCAAGCTTCTCAAACACCTGTGAGAAGGCATTTAAATTTATGGGCATATTTTAGCCCCTAATGATCATCTTGCATAGTGGGGAAATCATTACAAACTAATTATACTTACAATACAGATATGGTTACGATAGTCAAACCAGTTCCTTATTTGCACACAACTGCAAAATACACCCATATATGGATGAAAAGCTACCCCTACTACCTACAAAACAGCCAAAAAAGTATAGACTGAGGGGCCATTCCAGTAAGGAAACTTACAGGCTGGAAGACTCTTGATGTTTCGCTAGCTGTTGAAGCACATCAATTTCGATCAGAGCAGCATCCCAGTACTTCTTGATGCCACGAACAATCTTGATTGCTACCATTTCTTTAGCTTCCCGATCCCAACATTCTAAGACTTGCCCAAACGTACCTGAAAATAAAAATATTGCCAAATTAGAGCACTTGAGAGTACTTTATACAACTTAGGTGATATTGAAAAGAATTTAAACCAATAACTAACCTTCACCCATCTTGCTATATATCTTATCTGCAAAAAAATGGAGCAACAAAAGAGTCAATAGAGGAACGGATGATTGACAATAGCACATCATCACACACACAAAAAAAAAACAGAAGAGAATATTGCAGGCTAGTAGAGAAACAGACTTGACAATGACATCATTACAAAAAATAAATTAAAAAAAACTAAAACAAGATAAAATGAGGCAGGCTAACAACCTACAGAAAAAGAAAAAAGGAAGTGAAAGCAAAATCTCTAAATATCAAAAAATTGAAAAAAAAAAAATCTTTCAAAACTTTTTTAAAAATATCCGAGCCCAAGTAATGAGCAGTAGGCACAAATGCTTGGTTGTTAAATAAGTCAAGATACTAGAGATAATTCTACCCAAAAAAATCAATTAACAGCGATGTCAAAATGTCATCAAATAAGTTTTAAACTGTGCCATGATTAAAATACAAGTTTATAAAACATAATACACTCTGAAGATAAAAATATAAATACTTAGCAGCATGCGAAAATGTCTTATTTAAATAAAATATATCACCAAAAGCTATGAAGAAGACATTGATTTCTATATATAGGAAGAAATTCATCAAACTATATAAAAAAATTCATGCATATAAAACCAATCGAACTAAAATAATTAATGATTTCCAACAATTGTGATCAGGTATAATTACAGCGAGAGGTTAGATTCTCTCCAAGATCAAACATGTAATGGCCATCTTTATCATCTTCTCTCCAAGGAGGGGAAGCATTTCGAGCCACACCCTTAGCATGCATAGAACAATAAGTATGGTCTGAAGATGCCCCCAAAGAAAGCAAGCTCGTAACATCACCAACTTCTTGCCCACATAAAACTCCTATCTGAGCCAACAAACAGCCACATTTTTATTGTTTTTTTACTCATCAAAGAAAATTGTCTTACTTCGCCCATCGCATTTACAAAAAAAATCAGAATACAAAGTGTGGCAAGCATAAATTCAAAAGAAAAACAATACACGTAAAATATTACATTATCCGATATAACTTATCGACCACTGATATGTCAGGAAATTTAATCTTAAAAGATTATTAATTACATCTAGTAATAGTTTGTGAGAATACCATAGAAAGTATTCTAAAAAATTTAAACAAAACAGAAAAAAACAAGCGCGCTAGTGGACATTAACTTTTGATGCTATGAAAGCAATAGCAGAATAAACCAGTTAATAAAGGTACAAGAATGAATATCTCTATCAGTCAACATTGTCAACTGAATCACAAAATATGTTCTATTATCATGTCATGAAATGGCCAACTAAATTACAATTTATTCAATTATCGACAATTTTTGCTAATACGCCCCAACTCAGAACCAAAAAGGTATCAAAACCATTGACTGAATGATATGCTACATACACATGTCAAGTTTCATCCATCACTGATCCTGGATACTTCTTTTGGGCTATGAGTTGAGCAACCAAATATTTATCTAGTTTAGTTAATTCAAATACAAAATTTTCAGATACACTCAATACAATATGGTTATCAAACCTCAGTGGTACTGGCGCCACCAAAAGCATTAAACACACAAAAGTAGTGTGATAAGTGAAAATAGTCAGATCTCTTATATATTTATTTTAATTACAAATAATACTTTGGTAAAGGCTTGTTGCTTTTTGTTGTAGTTGTTGTTGTTTCTGTTGATGTTGTTATAGTACAAAGAATACTTTGTACCCAAAAAAAAAAATCATCATTAAATTATGTTATGCAAAATAATGATTTTTTTCATGTTCTACTGTATCTAAGTTCAAAAAACTTACTATATACAGTGTGAAAACAATTGCAAATCACCCAATATGAGCACCTCTGACACGAATAATCCAATTTAATAGAAATTTTGATGCAGTCAAATAAATTTCTGCAAGGGCGTCATATTTCAGGAACTAACTACTTATATTTGCAGTGTACACCCAAATGATTATGAAATTTTCACTACAATATAGTACATATGCAATTCTCCCTTGTTATCCATACTCTCTTATCCATCGTTGGATTTCAATCACTACACCTCTTCCAGTATTTTTCTGCACATCCCCTTAATCATTTTTGTTTGATATTATAAAAAATGATTTAGATTGCACTGAAGTGCTAAAATCTTACAAGATATATTCTTTACACAATTATGAATTACCCAAAATGGCCCGTTTTAATAAGAAAGTTCCAATTCAATAAGCCTGTGAGGAATCCATATTTCAGAACCCAACTACTTGACATTGTGTTCTCTACAGGCAAATAATAATATAAACTTCACTACTACATCATAATTCTGCATGATCATCCATATTTTTTGAGATTCATCGACATAATCTTTTTAAATTAGCATTCCAGAATATAAGTTCATGTACCGTAATTTCATAAACTTTTTTTCAAGATCAAATGCTTGTTTGATTTACCGCTTCATGCTCTTTTGACAACACATCATTTCAATCTATAATCAGGTAAAGAACTAATTTTTAAGAAACATAATGCTTAGGATCATGCTATAGATGTCAATGAAGAGGGCTAAGAAAATATTTGTTTGTAAGGAAACAGAAAAACATCCGTTAAATGCAGCCTTTTAATTTGTCAAGCCATCAAAATAACAAGCAAGCATGTTAGTAACCTTACCTTGTTCAAAATAATCTAAAAAAGGTCATCCCATAAAAGTTGTCTTAGATCTTGCCCATAAATAACACGGAAAATAAAATAAAATAAAATAAATGAATTAATCATTGATAAATGTTGGATCATAAAAATCTAAAACAAGACAAGCTCTTTTTTTCAGGGCTTTCAAACATAGCCAGCTTAAGAAAAACCCCTGTGCCAAAACTCGACAGATCTAATCCTTTCGTTACGAAATATACCATATCCGAGATAAAAACATATAGATCGGTAGCAGATCTATCGTTAAAACCATCAATAACATAATACGCAACAGAAAGATCTAGATCTAAGAAAATAAATAAAGATCTTAAAAAGAGAGAGAAGTTTATACCTGACAAAACTGCAGATCAAAAAAGAAAACCCAATAGATCTACCAAAATACAGAGAAACTTTACATTAAAATTTAACAAAGCTTTCAAAATCAGACATACCGTAGGAGCGATCGACACATCCCAGCCTAATCTCGCCCTCTTTCTTGGACGGGGGTGATCAACGTGGGCATGCGGCAACTCCGTCAAGCAATCCAACTCCATGATCGGAAACAGCGGGAAAAATCGAGCAACAACAAGTGCTCTTTTCGGCGCAAACCTAATAATCGTGCAATGCCGTCCCCCAGTGTCTACGTTTGATTTTTATAAGCTAGGGTTTCCAGTCGTTCGGCCCCCTTAACCCGTCTGATTTGAGATGAAGGGACGGAAGCTCTCAGTCGGTGACAGAATATTATTGGAATCTTAAATCCATCTAATTCTTGACGGAGTGGGTTTAGTTGGCTCCGTTAGATTTGACCATTTTAATCCGGCCTGGTTCGATCGGACCGGAAAATTACTTGAACCGCTGCAAGAATTCGATTAAAATTTACATAAAATAAGATGGGAAGTACAGCTGCTTACGGCTCTTCTAAAAATAAAAAGTTAAATTCCAAATATAAGTCTATGGAACACTTACAAAGGAATAACACAATTCGTACATATTTACATATCTAACATCTCAAGTTTCATATTTATATAATTGAAGCTCGATTTTTTATAAAATTAACATTCAAATCTCGAAAATTTATAACAAAATCTTCAACTTACCTAATTATAATTTAATTAGATTTTAATAATTAACATGTACAAGAATATGAGATAATTTTTATTATTTAATTTTAAAAATATACATGATATTTAATAACATACATGTAATTCTCATAATATATATATATATATATATATA